AAAAAAAAAAGAGAAGAGGATAGAGAAAGATAGCAAGTGAACAATAGAGGGGATGTTAGTGAGAAACAGATATGGTTTATTATCTGTTGAAGATGACGTGTATAGTATTCTCAACTGGACTGGTCTGGGAAGTATTTCATGATGGGTGAAGTCTTTTAACAAGCAAAATGAGAAATAGTGATTGACTGTTTTAAAAAATTATAATAATAATAATTATTGGGAAATGCATGGAAAAGACTTTGAATGATAAAGCGGGGAGATCGATGCCTCTGTATTGACTGACATGCATGGCATTCCCTTTTGAAAAAGCAATGGAAGTCAATGTAAAGTTATATGTAATCCAATGTAATATAAAGAAGATTATGATAATAATAAAAAAAACTATATTTTCTTTATGAAAAAGAAAAAGAGAAATAAAAATGAAATTAGGTATCTACCCTTTTCTCCTTTAATAAAGATAAGATCTGATCCTTTCTATCTTCATTGGTAATTATGTTTCTTATACATAAACATATTATTGATTCTCTTGGTTAAGTTGATATAATCTGTATAATAAATATTTAATACAAATCCTGGAAGAAAACTTTCCAAACCTACAGAGGCATTCAAATATCCAGACCTAAGAAATACCAAGGACCCCACACAGAATCAACCCAAGAAGATCTTCTCCAAGGCACATCGTAGCCAGATTGACCAAAACCACAGAAAGAGACAAGATACCAAAATTGGCAAGAGAGAAACGTCAGGTTACTTTCAAAGGATATCCCATCAGGCTAACATCAGACCTCTCATGAGAAACAATGCAAGCAAGGAAAGAATGGGAAAATGCAATCAAAGTGTTAAGTGAAAAACAATTTCAATCAAGAACACTATACCGGGCAAGATTATCCTTCATATGGGAAGAAAAGACAAAACATTTTCAGATAAATAAAACCTGAAAGAATTTACCAACAGCAGATCAGCTCTTCAAGAAGTTCTGAAGGGAGTGCTATACCAGGAAAACTAAAGACAGAACTAAGAGAACAAAAATGACCAAGAAAAAGTCCAATTTAATAGTTGGGACAAGTTCAGAACTATCAATAAATAATGGTGAATGTTAACTTTCAGGATTTAAACAGAAAGATCAGACCACAGTAACACCACAAATTCAACAAAAGAGAGACTGAACTGGTGAAATAAAATTTTATGACTTTTGTCTAAAACAAAACAAAACAAAAAAGATGCATTTTCCAGGAACTTCTTTTATTTTTATTAAGAGAGATTTTTGCTGGGACCAGCAGTTAGTGTAATGGCTATGTCACTGGACTCCCAAGTAGTCGACCGCAGTTCAAGTCCCGGACTTGGTGACTTAAACTCATGCTGGGCGCGTGTGCGTGTGCGCCCAAGATCCCGAGAATAAAACAGAGGAGAAGGGATTGCGGCGTGGCCATCCCCCCTGGGGGGTGATTTCTCACTTTCTACCTCCCTGTTTCTCTCTGTCTGTCTGGCGAGCGCACATGCCCTATAGCAAAACCCCTCTCAAAAAAAATAAATAATAAAAATAAATTTAATAAAAAGAGAGATTTTTGCTGTAGGGTGCATGCACTCGCTGAAGAGACAGAGAGCAAGAAATCACTCCCCAGGGGGGATGGCCACACCTCAATCCCTTCTCCTCCATTCTCCTCGTGGGGTCTTGGGCACGCACACACGTGCGCCTGGGATGAGGTTTGAACTACCAGGTCAAGGACATGAACTGCAGTCGACTACGTGGGAGTCCCGTGATGTCACCATTATGCCATCTACTGCACCCTGGCCTCACCACGTCACAAGGCCTAGACCACAGTGCACTTAGGAGTAAGCTCTGCTGGACACATTTTGCTTTCTCTCTGAAGAATTGGGAAGTGGCACCTCAGGGGCACTCGACAAGGATGGGCATAGCTGGGGGTGAGCCTGTCTGCCCTGCAGCAGGTGGGGAGGGCCTCCCAGGGGAGGAGTTTCTGTACCTGAGACTGAGCACGCTGGCCAGGAGGCCTCGCCATGGCCAAAGAGGGAAGAAGGATGCTCTCGAGAGACTAGACTGCTTAACAGAATCTGTTTAGTATTTGAACTTGTTAAATCTTGTAAATTTTTATGACAGAGCCTATCTTTAGAGAGGTTTGGGAGCAGATGATAACTCATGTCGTTTGCTCTCCTCTACTCCAGAGTATTTTTATAAGGGTTTAATAATCAGACTATGTGGAAGGAGGGTACCCTGAGTGAGTGCATTGGATAGGCTAGGGAGACTGGACCTACTTAGCCCTGGGGGCTGGCTGGAGAGGCTGGGGTGAAAGTAGTCATGAATTGGATGTTGTGTTAAGTCATTGGAAAAATCATGACGCAGTTTTACATAGCAAAACAAAAACACGTCACAACTTTTCCAAGGACCCAGTGTATCATTCGTTTGTCTGATTTGTTTTCTTTTACACAATGACAGGGGCTCCTTCCTGGTTTTACGAGTTTACTGACCCACTTCTAAGGCAGGTCCCCCAGGGTTAAGAGATCTCACCATAGTCACCTCCTCCATCAGGCTCTGCAAACAGGGCTTATCCATGCCTGTCATTCTTTTTACTGTTGACCAAATCCTAAATCCTGCCTTTCTCTAAAACTTTGAAATTCCGTTGCAAAAGGACAGGCCCCGTAGATTGCCACGAAGGCGCATTTTCCTAGAGGGATCACCCCCACGTGTCCTGCTGCTGTTTTCTAGTTCCTTGACTGTCTGGCTCCTGGCCTCATTTTGTTCTCAGTGTGTTCAGATGCCACGTGGCAGCTGCTGAGAATAAGAATGAACTGCTAGAATCCGCCTTCCTTAGAAAGCACACGTGGGTGATCTTTTCTTCTAGACATTTACTCCTTCAGAAAGCAAGAAATGGGTTAATTATTAGCTTTTTTCCTTCTTTCTTTCTTTCTTTCTTTCTTTCTTTCTTTCTTTCTTTCTTTCTTTCTTTCTTTCTTTTTTTTTTTTTTTTTTAGAGATGTTTGGTATAAGGCACATGCACTCGCCAGAAAGAGAAACGGAAAGTGAGGGGGGGATGGCCATGCCACAATCCCTTCTCCTCCATTCTCCTCTCAGGATCTTGGGCATGCATGCACACACGCCTGGTGTGAGTTTAAGCCACTGGGTCTGGGACTCAAACCACAGTCGACTACATGGGGGTCCAGCGACATAGCCATTACGCCAGCTGTTGGTCCCGTATTATTAGCTTTCTACATTGTATAATCATGTTAGTTTCTTTCAGTAGGTTAGCAGCCGAAGCACACTGGTCTTTTTGTCTGTTGGTGTGTGAGTTAGTTTGCCACAGGCTGTGTGTGCACTGTCTTTCAGATACCCCTACCCTCTGCCTGCAGTGTCACCTGCCAGGTGCATCAGCCTCTGAGCTATGTGAGGAGTCGGTTTTGGCTGGAGCTCCTGGTTCCTCAGAAGCATCTCTTGTCCAAACTTGTGAAGACCTAAGGGCAGGAATCAGGTGACCCAGTGCGATTTAATTTAGAGATTAAATCAAAGGGAGAAGACAATACCGTGAAACTTATGTGAGTTCTTTTCTTCCGTGGATGCCAGTCTCCAAGACCCTTTGGACTTCTTTTCATAGTACCAGCTCTTCTTTTCATCAAAGACCATAAAAAGTAAGACAAATTCCCTCATGTCCATAGGCATGTTGCTCTCTTTGTGAAGTGTCCCTTTCCGGCAGATCAGAAGGGGACCTACTAAGCCCGAGTGGATATCTTTTTCCTGGAAAACAGTAGGAGCAAATCACATGTACTCACTCTGGCTCAGGATTTTCTTTGGTCTTCTGACCATCTCATCATTTAGCAAAGGAAACCTTAGACACTCTGAATTTAAAGGTTACAAATTAATAGCTTACTAAGCCTAGCTATTTATCATCTACTTCTGCTGCCTTCACATTCCCTTATGGTTAATCCTTTATTAATATAGATAATATAATGAATACTCTTTACTGGGTATCTACTACTGTGTTAAATGCTTTGCCTCTAGTATCTCATTTGATCGTAGTAACTATCCTACATGGTAAATGTAAATTAATTATTGAACAAATATTTCCCAAGTAGCTACTATATGCTAGAGCATTTCTTTTTAAACTTTAGAAACCAAAGTCGAAAGAGGTCAAGTAATTTTCCTAGGGTCATGCAATAAATGAGAGGGTAGGGGTTTAAATCTGAGTCTGTGCTTTTCCCACTATGCCTTAAATGAAGAAGTCTTAACTTTGCCGTTCTTTCCAAGAAAGAATGGAATAAAGTAAACATATATCCAAGAAAATCATAAATTGGTCTTCCTCTATAAACGTTGGCCCTGTAACTTGGAGCCAACCTCTTAAGTAGCCCCCACTGCTCTCCACTGAACAAATGCTTCTCTCTCTCTCCTCTGAAGAACTGCACGGAAAGCCTGGGTTGTGGGAGCTGTTGACTGCTGGCCACAGCCCTTACACATTCCTCATGAAAAGCAAGACAGACG